GTTGATACCCTCGGGGACTAACAATCCACCAGCAACGGTATCTAACCAGTGCTATAATGATATTTATTTGTAGATTTATTTTCTTCAACTCATCAATCTCTTAAAACTTTAAAACATTTTGACTTGTTGTTTTAAAGGCGATTTGGTTATCGTTGGTTGATGTCTGACATATTTGTTTCTCGTTTATAGTTGGTACTATGAAACAGGCCGTCTCTGCTTTTTTTTCTTTTGAAATTTTTTCACATTGTGTCATCCGGGGCCCTTTATAGGTTAGTTTACGGTATAGGTTTAATTGTGGGTCTTAATTTGATAGATGCTTTTGTGCTTTTTTTGTAAATAATTGTTTGTTTTGATATTGTAACACAGTGATGACTGCTGTACCCATATTTTGACTATTTTATTTATAATGTCTGTTTTGTTCACGCATCGTTGTAAATATAACGAAATTTGATAAGACTGTCGTACAAGTGAGAGGTTTAGCGCTATAAAACCAGGTTCAATCCACCATTTTCTACATTTGAAAATGCCTGTACCAAGTCAGGAATATGACAGTTGTTGTCCATTCGTTTGATGTGTTTTGTCATTTGATTTTGCCATGTGATTAGGGACTTTCCGATTGAATTTTCCTCGGAGTTCAGTATTTTTGTGATTTTACTTTTTATATATAGTTGAAAACCGTATGGAGATCAGCAATTTCTTGACAACTTTGTCCTTTTTGGTTTTTAGTGGATAGTTGTCTCTTTGAAAGACATACAACATTCCATTTGTATACGCCCATTTACGGGACGTATTATGGTATACCGTTGTCCTTCCGTTCGTCCGTCCGTCTGTTCGTCCGTTTTTCCGTCAGTCCGTCCGTCCGTCCGTCCGTCAGTTTGTACGTCGTCAACACGTCGGACAATTACCAATGTGCATGAAACTTTGGTGAATTGTTTATAGCTATTGACACAAGCTCCCTTTCGACTTTTATATATTTTAGATTTTAGGTTTCCGAGTGGGGTTTTGTTCATTATAAACGGGGGATTTTCCAGTTTTAGGAAAATAACTCAGAAATGCTTTTAGCCGTTTTTATGACACTTTGGTGAATTGTTTATATCTATTGACGTAAATTCTCTTTCGATGTTTATGAATTTTAGATTTTAGGTTTCCGAGTTTCGGGATTTTATTCATAAAAAAGTAGGGATTCTTCCAGTTTTCGGACAATAACTCAAAGGTGCTTCGAGCAGTTTCATGAAACTTTGGTTTCAGATTCCACCACCTTATCTCGTGCAATACGATATTTATCCACTCTCGACAGTTAAATTTAAAATGTTTAAAACGCTCGGCCAGCCTCGCGTTTTCAATTTGAAAATTTAACTGTCGAGAGTGAATAAATATCGTGTGCAGTTGTACTCTATGTAGAATCTATATATATGTACCATAGATTTGACAGTTTCAGTGACATATTTTACAGATTGTCATTATTTTTCGTATTATTTATATCTGTATATAATATAAAATTAAATAGATATGTACTTATTTTCTTATTTTATGAACGTACTCAGCACATTTCCATTTAATATAGTTCACTGAATATCTGAATATACAAATACCATTGAAAGTGTATACTAGTATTCTTATGAAAAGATAAGCGTATATGGATTAGTTACACTTTTTGCTCCTGGTTCGCAATATAAAATTAGATAAAAAAAATAAATAAAAAAAATGAGAAAACCATACCAATGAAGCGATCTAAAAGTCAAAGAAAAACCGACAACTCCCTGGTAAAAGAAAAAGTACGAAGTAAACCTTGAAAGTCCACAAAACATCACACAGAAAACGAAAAGACTAAGCAATGTATGTTGGTCTTAAATAAAACCTGTACGAACTGTGACGCCCGTATATGACACGGAAACCAGGCGTAAAAATTATACTTTATCTGGGCGTCATTGCAGTGTTTAAGGAATGCATGTCCAGGCGTAAACCAGGCGGAAACCAAGCGTAACTGAGGCGGAAACCAGGCGTAAAATTAGGCGTAATATGCAAATGAGTACGCCTGGTCAATAAATAAACCAGGCGTAATATCCTTACATAATACTACACTTATTTCAAATCAGTGTATTACCCTAGCTGTGTACTTTTGTGTATTTAATGCAAACTTCTGTACTGTTGCTTTAATTTCTCATTATTTGACATAAAACTGGAAATATTAACCATTGAAGAAGCTAATATATAAATAAATACATTTTAGACAGACACTGGCTCAAATTAGTTTAAGTTTAAATAAGAATTATGACAATTAATTTTTCTTGAAATAAAACTTCTGCATTTTGATTAACTAAGTTTTTTATAAATTAATGTCCTTTGAAATATAAATGATAATACTGCAATGTAACTTCATGCAAAAGATTTCAATGTTATTATCCAAGGATAAAGGTTTTGGGATTTCAAAATTACTGTTAGAACTTAAAACTTAATAACTTAGGTAATATACTCACATAATTATTATTTACCATGTATTACTTTCCATTTTTTTCACAATTTTTATTAATCAATTTGATTCCATATTTCCAAATTCTTCCAAAAAGCACAAAACAAGCTAATTATCCCTGAATGTATGAAGCTGTATTAAGTCCAACTCTTGCAAACTAAAACCAAAGAGCCAAATTTTGAAAGAAAAATTCCCATGATCCTTTAAACAAAGCATTATGGGTATTATGATTTACCCCATACCAACAGTTTTACGCCCGTAAGAAAATTTACGCCTTGCTTATTTCAATTTACGCCAGGTTTACCACTTTTTTCTACGCCCGTACGGACTACAAATTTACGTTTCCTGCTCCCTTACGCCTGGATCTAGACACGTAACTACCACTTACGCCTGGTTTACGCCTTATTTCCAGGCGTAATACGCCTTATAATTTCATACGGGATAATGCACTTTCCATGGTATTTTGATTCGAGCGTCACAGACTGATGAGTCTTTTGTAGACGAAAGACTCGCCTGGCGTTCAAAATTTTAATCCCGGTATCTATGATAAGTTTATTCAATGGTACTTTGAGGCGCGCCGTATTTTCATTGTATGTTTTGTTATTGTGGAGACCGAAAAATTATTATTCCGGACGAATCTGGGCTTGCCGTTTTAAAAGGAGCTGTGTTATTTTGTCATCAGAAGAAGAAAATAACTAAGAGAATTTTGAAGAAAACGTCTGGAATTCAAAGTTGGCCGGAATGGGATCCGGATATTCACCCGGAAACAAAGACGATTCGAATGGGCGGAACCGATAGATGTAAAGATGTTTTCTTTAAATTTGCATCTATAAACGATAAAGTTGAAGATGGTCATACCTCCTCACAGATATTCCAAGCATTGAATCCGAATGAGAAGACTCTCGAATGTGCGATCTACACTTCGACTGATCCGAATCCAAGATACGTTACCGATCCGACATGTCAGCGTCTGGGTAATTTAATCGTAGATTTACCAAAGCTCAAAGAAGGCGAAACGTTGGAAATTGAGGAAACACTTGTTTTCGGTGGTACTGAATTATTATTCAGGGCTAAAAATTTAAAAACAGGTCGAGTGTTCGAGACACAACTAGACTTTTAATAGCATATTCATTTGTACTTATGTTAACATACGAAGTGATAAGATTAAGGTTGTTTTTCTCTTATGGGTTTCTCTTATTGTCGAAGGCCGTACGTTGACCTATATAGTAAGTTGCTGAAATCCGCTGCATTTGGACTCTGAATGAGTTGTCTCATTGGCAATCATGCCATATCTCCTTATTTTATATTTTTTATATTATAAAATATACCTCCATGCCTTTGTTTTTATTTGTAACATTTGTCGGAATAACTGTGTGCATCCTAATGAAATGCTACATTCGATTTGTTGCTCTTCAATATTTGATCTTGTCAGGTGTATATAAGGTTTCGATCACTTTTGACGAGAAATATATGTTTGAAATGCACTAATAGAAGATAACAAAGCGGTTTTGGGGGGAAGGGGGGGGGGGGGGGTGGGGGCAATGAAAAACCGCCAGCAGAAGAAAGACAAAAAAAAACAAACAATCGTCCACTAAACAGAAAACTAAAAATTGAACAACACGCATCCAAGCAAAACAGGGGATGACCTCAGTTGTTCCGGAAGGTAAGTAGTGTCTGCTCCACTTGAGACACCCATCGTGTTGCTAAAATTAAAAACTACAAATTATTGTCAGTGATATCAGCTATTTTTGTCTTGATATCATTATATGTATATATCATTACTAGAAAAAAGGTTTAAGGAGAAGAGTACGGCCATTTGATATTGGAAAAGGGGGATATAAATGAGACTTAAAAAGGTGAAAATGAATATGCCGTCTGAAAAAAATCCTCCTCCCCTATTTATATGCGTATATAATTATACATATTTACAATATGTTTACGGAATTTTAGGGTAGATTAACGTAGCACCCTCCGAATAATGAATATACTTATTAAAGTTGAGCACTGATGATATCGTGTTTGTGTGTCCCAATAGCTGTAATTTATTTATGAAATATTGTCATTGGAAGCTCGTATTCAGTTCAGCCAGCACTCACATGATGCTTTTATCACCTATTTAAGATTTTTCTCTTGAATGATTTTGGGGATTTACTTTGGAATAACATGGACTTCTAGCTGTTCATTAACACGTACCCAGCTAAATTTCCGCTCAGAATCTTCACCATGTAATCCCATAGTGCACCTCCTATTGTATTTCTTATTCCAAATATTTTTAGGATTTGTTTTACTAAAGCATGGACTTTACAAGGGCCGGAGTATAATTTTGTGTACTTTGTTTGTAGTAGGCCTACTCCTATATTTCACAATATCATACATGAAACTCATTGTTGAATTAATTTCAAAAATAAATTGAATGGTCGGTGCATTAATTATCATTTATCATGATCACTGTGCTTTATAATAAGCTTACAGCACATGCTGGCGAGCTGTCCTCAAAACACGTGGTTTTTTTTAAATAAATTATTATATTGTACTACCGTATGTTCGTTTGAAATAAGAACTAGAAGAATTCGAATATAAAAAGAAATTCCGATGTCGATCTAGGATTTTGATAAGGGGGCCTTCAGGCCCAAAAACTAGGCAACATTTTGAAATGAACAGGTAAAAAGTCCGAATTAACAATTAATGTAGCTCCATAAGCCCCCCTCTAAATCCGCCTCTGAAATTGCACGTAAAACATGTGTAAAATACTACAATTTATTTATACTTCACAAAAATAAACATACAATATCGATTACTTCCCTTTAAATAACAGTTGTAGGCTAATTTACATCCTGATAATCGACGATGAAAGAGAAGAAGAAATTAGACAGATAATTCAGGTACATAATTAATGCAAACCAACTTTTGTTGTCCTTGTTGTTATTATATGTTTATCAATTTAAACATCTTAATTCTGGTACAAACAATTAGACATGTTAAATGAGAAACTATAAACAGAAAGTATAGTAAACAAATACAAGTAACTAAATGCTATACAATGGCCAAATTAGTAGACCGACAACGTTTTATTCCCCAAGAAATCAGTTTTATCCGTAACCAAAACTTTTTGGCACAATGTAAATCCGTGATCAAGTGAAAATGATTGAATTTCATGTTAATCCTACCGAAGGGCATGCAGTAGCCGGTTTAATTTGCCACAAATCCAATTGGTCCTATAGCTACCATGCAATTAACTGAAAACTAATATCTTAATAAAATTTACTAATATATCGTAAGATAGTTTGTCTCTTTGAGTTATATATGTGATAGTAGAAGCACAGGCACTAGACGTTCTGTCAATAGTAATAAACTATGGGCAATGGGAAGAAAATAGTGTCAATGTATATAAAAAAAGAGCTCTTTTTATATACATGAACACTATTTTCTTCCCATTGCCCATATTTAATTACTATTTACAGAACGTCTAGTGCCTGTGGTAGAAAGTTAATCAAAACATCGTTACCTTGGTTATTTAATTATATTGTATTGTCTGGTGGATCGACTTGTATGAGGTCTGGATGGGACTCTTCATTTCTGTAAATTTTCCTTATTCTTTTTTTTTACCATTTTTTTCTGTTTTTTAACTTTTTTACCATTACTCTCTATTCGTTATAACTTAATAACCATTATTCTCTATTCTTTATAATTTTGGTCCATAATGATTTTTCTTTATTCTATATGTTTTACCCATTATTATCTATTCTGTAAACCCCCTCCAGACCCGCTATAATAATATCGGTTTTCTTCAAATTCCTTACACAAATATAATTTATGCATTGCACAAGACGATCCTAGAATGATTGAAGTCTAGTACCATGAGTACTGATGACACATCTGTAGTCACAACTTGTCGGCACTCAAGATTTATAGCTTGGTTTGTGGGTATACAAGACACTTGTCAATTATTGAGGACTGTAGGTTTTGTTACCTAAAACATATGCAGTAGACCTAAACAGTTTCCTCAAGGTTGACGTGAGAATAGAACTATTGTCACTTTGGTTTTCTTCCGACGGGCAATAAATCTCTTTCAAAAGTGGGGAATCTGTTTGGCTGTGTGGGATGTATAAGTACGCAGTCACGTCCGGTCAGAATAGGAACATTTGATCCGATGTCTCGTGCAGAGAGAGTGACACGCTCTCTGCGCGTTAGAAACCCTTACAACAACTCTTTGATGGGTCCGTAGGTGGCATGTTGCAAGGAAAAATTTCTGTTCTTATCCAATATACCCTCATTTTCCAGTGGCAGTCCAAGTTCCCCCGACCTTCATCCGTGATGGCTTCTAGTACAGGACCTACCTATTGTATTTATTGTTATTTTATTCTCGTCCTAAATATGCATGAAATATTTGCCACTGGAAGTTAATCAAATAACAAGTTATCAATATACCTATAGGTGACTTTGTTTTTTGGTGTGGATGGATTGCTGTCTTAAAAAGACCCACATCTTCCTGTATTCTTATCAGATATTAATTTACATTCGGATACCCCTTTTCCAAATAGATAAGCCGACATCATATTTTTTTTTCTGTCGTTGGATTGTTGTCTCGTTGACGTTTACCGCATATCTTTAATAAATTATTTACACCAATAAGATCGAGTCATCTATACTGTCAATATTATTCATGAGATAAGTCCGCTTTCGAAATGTAAACGCTTGTGACAACGTAATGAATTGAATATACTTATTAAGTTGTTTATCCACAAAACACTATACAGTAATATAAAGATTAAGCAACACAAACTCGTAGTCTATGGAAGGGTCAGCTGAGCCTACTCCACGAGTGATTAAGTGACTTGAAGTATATTTTGACTCTTCCTTCAACGGAATTTATAATCATATAAATAGGGAAAAAAACATACTCTTCAACACGCCACAGGACAACAATCATAAGTTGATGCAAAATCATTTTGAAGTGAAACAATGATAGTGATGGTGCCTCGATGCGAAATAGAGAGCTAGTTATAAAAATAAGGAGATGTGGTATGATAGCCAATGAGACAACTATTCACCAAAGTTCTAAGGAAACGGATGTCAGCAATTATAGGCAACCATACGGCCTTCAACAATGAGAAAAACCTATACCGTATATTCAGCTATAAAAGCGACCCCCCCCCCCCCCCCCCCGACATGAGAATTATGAAACAATTCAATTGGACAGTGGTGTAACGGCACAACACAAGAACAAACTGTGCAAAACAATAAACGAAAAACAAATATGAGAAACAGCAAAAAAAAAGAAGACAATTTTGAAAGAATAATTTAATAATGTCTATAATATAAACATAAAAAGATGTGGTATGATTGTCAATAAGACAACTCTCCACCAGAGACCAAATGACGTAGAAGTTAACAAACCCTCTAACAACATAATTGCAGGATTTTTTTATTTTTGTTTAGGTATGATTATTTTACAATCAGGCTCATGGATGAGACCAGACTTTTTGTTGCTGCTATAGACTTTGGGACAACCTATTCTGGATTTGCCTTTTCGGCCAGAGGGGACACGACTATATACACATGCGAATGGAGAAACAACGACTTAACATCGATGAAAACACCGACATCAGTACTACTTGATAATGAACAGAAACTAAAAGCATTTGGGTATGATGCAGACAACAAATATATAACATCTATTGTTCCTGACGAAGAAATGGATGAATACTATTATTTCCGGCGGTTTAAGATGACACTTCATAACGAGGTAAACATTCCTTTTTTCAAATAACAATATGTATACACGATTGAATTTTCCCATGCGATTTCCCAAAATACATTTTTTAGCTCACCTGGCCCAAAGGGCCAAGTGAGCTTTTCTCATCACCTGGCGTCCGTCGTCCATCGTCCGTCGTCGTCCGTCGTCGTCGTCCGTCGTCGTTAACTTTTACAAAAATCTTCTCCTCTGAAACCACTGGTACAAATTTTACCAAACTTGGCCACAATCATCATTGGGGTATCTATTTTAAAAAATGTGTCCGGTGACCCAGCCAATCAACCAAGATGGCCGCCATGGCTAAAAATAGAACATAGGGGTAAAATGTAGATTTTGGCTTATATCTCTGAAACCAAAGCATTTAGAGCAAATCTGACACGAGGTAAAATTGTTTTTCAGGTCAAGATCTATCTGCCCTAAAATTCTCAGATGAATCGGACAACCCGTTGTTGGGTTGCTGCCCCTGAATTGGTAATTTTAAGAAAATTTTGCAGTTTTTGGTTATTATCTTGAATATTATTATAGATAGAGATAAACTGTAAACACCAATAATGTTTTTTTCGTAAATTTTTGTAATCTTTTACAAAAATCTTCTCCTCTGAAACTACATAGACAAATTTAACCAAACTTGTCCACAATCATCATTAGGGTATGTAGTTTAAAAAATGTGTCCGATGACCCCGCCCGCGAACCATGATGGCCGACATGGCTAAAAATAGTACATAGGGTAAAATGCAGTTTTGGGCTCATATCTCTGCATTTAAAGCATTTAGAGCAAATCTGACGAGAATAAAATTGTTCATTAGGTCAAGATCTATCTGCCCTGAAATTTTCAGACCAATCAGGCAACCCGTTGTTGGGTTGCTGCCCCTGAATTGGTGATTCTAAGAAAATTTGCAGCTTTTGGTTATTATCTTGAATATTATTATAGATAGATAGATGTACAGCAAACTTTAAGTAAGACCTACAAATAAGTCAAATGATCAAAATGGTCAATTGACCCTTTAAGGAGTTATTGCCCTTTATAGTCATTTTTTAACAATTTTCATAAATTTCGTAAATTTTTGTTATATTTTTCCACTGTAAATACTGGGCCAAGTTCATTATAGATAGAGATAATTGTAAGCAGCAAGAATGTTCAGTAAAGTAAGATCTACGAACACATCACCATCACCAAAACACAATTTTGTCATGAATCCATCTGTGTCCTTTGTTTTAGAGCATATAGACCAAGGTGAGCGACACAGGCTCTTTAGAGCCTCTAGTTTCGAAATTCTTCAAATAATTAAATAATTAAGAGAATATAACAAATTTAAGTCGAAATGATATATATCGGACCGTATGATCTATAAAAAAATTCATTGAAATTACATCTATCAGAAATTACATTAGTTGCATACAAGGAAATAAAGTTTACCAATGTATCATTCTAATAAGTCACGTGAATAAATCTACCTTGATTATTTTTATGCCCCATTTATGGGCGTTATGTTTTCTTGTATGTGCGTCCGTTCGTTCGTCCGTCTGTCCCGTTTCTGGTTAAAGTTTTTGGTTAAAGTTTTCTTGTCAAGGTAGTTTTTGATGAAGTTGAAGTCCTATCAACTTGACACTTAGTACACATGTTCCTTATGATATGATCTTTCTAATTTTAATGTCAAATTTGACCACAATTTCACGGTCCACTGAACATAGAAAGTGATAGTGCGATTTGAGCATCCGTGTACTATAAACACATTCTTGTTATAAATACATTTTATTTTATCTTTATAATAATTGCTAGCTAGCACGTCTGCCATCTGTACGATTACTATAATAAATATCACCTTCATACAAATTCTTTACATTTTCAATAAAATCATCATTCCAAAATTTTTCTTGCATTAATACAACACCAAATTTTCTGTCTTGTACAATCAATGACAATACTAACAAATCTTTGTAAATTTACAACATTTCCCAGTGTCAAAAGGCAACATATACGAATATTCATGGCAATTAACATTGTTCCCATTTCAGTAAGTTAAATTATTACATCAATTGCAAAAACCTTATATGAATCTCAATATTTTGAATTTTTTTTATGCCACTAGGTACTGGTGTAGCTTAGCTCACAAAGGCCTAAGGTGACAAATTGTGAAACAATTCAAAATAGAAAATCAACGGTCTGATTTAGGCTGAAAGCATTTAGTTCACTAAAGCGTATATTGGCCATTGTAACCGTTTGCTCCTTTATTTTTTCTTCCGTCATCTGCACTTTGTATCTGTCTCTCCCAAAAATATATTCAGGATTTCAATGTAATTTTCAGAGGTTTTATTCCAGTTTGGCTTGGTGATAATTTTCGGTGAAGTTTCTTTAACCAAACCGAAAATGTTATTTTTATTATTATGAACACTCAAGAGCAATTATTTGAAAGCCGAGGATGTATAAGACGCGAAACATGTGAAGAGCTACACTCACGTTTGTATATGAATAATTGGCAAATTCATTTAAGGTTGACTTTGCTTAAGGAAGTTTCTTAACAATTTCATAACTCATAAACGGACAATTTAAAAAGGTTTCTTATAAATCATGTCAGTTCGGAAGCACAAACGCCTGAGCTGTTGATACTCTCGGTGAATAACAATCAAACAAGAACGGTATCTAACCAGTGCTATAATGAGGTTTATTTGTTTTACTTCAACTCACCAAGTTCTTAAATTTTTAAAAAGTAAAATAACAAAAATACCGAACTCCGAGTAAATTCAAAACGGAAAATCCGTAATTAAATGGCAGAGTCAAAAGCTCAAACACATCAGACGAAAGGATAACAACTGTCATATTCCTAACTTGGTACAGGCATTTTTTTTAATAATTATGTAGAAAATGGTGGAAAGCAATGTAAAACACTTGTTGTTTTATAGGTGATTTGTTTATCGTTGGTTGATGTCTGACATATTTATTTGTTTTTCGTTTATATTTGGTACTATAAAACAGACCGTTTGTGTTTATTTTTCTTTTGATTTTTTTTCACATTGCGTTTTCCGGGGCCGTTACAGCTTAGTTTACAGTATAAGTTTATAGCTGAAAGCCGTATGGAGAACTGCAATTTCTTGACAACGTTGTCCTTTTTGGTTTTTAGTGGATAGTTGTCTCATTGAAAGACACATTCCAAATGTATGTACGCACATTTACAAGACGTATTACGGTATAACGTTGTCCGTCCGTCCATCCGTTCGTCTATTAGTCCGTCCGTCTGTTGTCAGCACGTCGGACAGTAAAAAAATTGTATGAAACTTTATTGGATTGTAAATGGCGATAGAAGCAAGTTCTCGTTCGATTTTTATAAATTTTTGATTTTAGGTTTCCGAGTTTCGGGATAATTTTATCCATTAAAAAAGTAGGGATTCTTCGTTCTTTGAGCATTTTTCATTAAACTTTGGTGAATGCATTTTGTCTATTTATATAACCTAGTATCTTTATAAAAAAAAGAAGACGTGGTATGATTGCTAACGAGACATCTCTCCAAAAGAGACCAAATGAAACAGAAACACAACTATAGGTTACCGTTAGTTTGTTTTAATAAATTTCTGTTATGAAATTGGGGAGTTATGGAACTTTATTCTTTCAAAAAGCGACGGGCGTATCATGCGCTCATTCTTTATTTTTAGTTGTTTTCTATAAATTGTTTTCATTAATCCGTTACATTCTTATTTTTTTTCCAGAGAATTACACTTGATACTATGTTAACAGAAGAGCGTGGTAAGCAGATGAAAGCTCTTGAGATATTTTGTATTGCTATAAAATACCTTAAAGAACAGATGATCAAGAAGCTAAACAGTAAATTCCTGACAATGAAAGTAGATATCAAAGATGAAGATATTCAATATGTGTTGACTGTACCTGCGATATGGGCAGATCAGTCCAAATTATTCATGAGAAAAGCTGCAGAGAAGGTAATTTGCATTATGATTAATCTATATGATGGATAATCTTTTTCTCTTTTGAAATGTTTGCTTATCACATTCTCAACCTTTTTTTTTCTTGTGCTTTTCCTAAAAAAGTGAGAGGTTTAGCTAACTTTAAAACTAGATTTAATCCACCATTTTCTACATAGGAAAATGTCTGAACCAAGTCAGGAATATGGCAGTTGTTATCCATTCGTTTGATGCGTTTGAGCTATAACAGTTAACTTTTTTTTCTAAAAATAAGTCTCAATACTTTAAGTACCGCCATAGTCTTTAATTTAGAAAATGCTTATAATTCACACTATATTTTTCACGAGCATGATGAATTATACATTTATCTATAATGAAGAACACTTTATCTCCCTGGAATTTCAGCACCAAATGTAAATAGAATTTCCATTATACATGCTGGATAAAAAGATCATTCGTTTGAACAATGACCATACCGTTTACATATAAATTTTGTTTTTAGGCAGACATAGATAAGGACCAATTGAAATTGGCATTGGAACCGGAAGTAGCTTCTATATATTGCCAGGAACTTAGACTAGACGTTGAGAAAGAAGCCAACAGATTCCTGCAGACGATCAAACCTGGAATGAAGTTTATGGTCATAGATTTAGGAGGTATTATTTTGCTGTACATTTGTAATGCCGTTTAATTATTCATACCTAAGACAGGGTTTGATTATGTGCCCTTTTTAACAATGCCATGCATTTGCCAAACTGAGATTCTAACTACCTATAATAAGGCAAAGTTTAATAAGCGTGGTTCAGTATTCAATCAATCCGGATTTCAAAGTTTTAGCATTGAGAGTTCCTGTTGAAGGTAAATCCAGGAAAGCGCTATTGACGTATAAAATTAACAAAGTCTTAATTTCTTGTTTTTAAGTTCATTTTTGTTTTGTATTAAGATGAGTATAATATAATAGGCCAATAAAACGATAAGTCGAAACATAAGCGTTATAATTGTCAAATGCCAAGCAATGCACATGACAAAAAAAATACAGAGTACACTAACCGGTTGAAGTTTATCACTTAAAGAGTGTCGAAAGTTGTATTTGCATATGGTATTAGGTAATATACTTTCAATGGTACTTTTAAACGAAATGCATACCATGTTGCCCATTAAATTTTATGGACGCCTTCACGAGTTGGTTCCACAGATGATGGCGGATATGCTCCTAATGTCGTTACTACAATCCCGTTCTCTTTTCACGAATGTAACCTACTGAATTAGACTTATAACCGGGTTGGTACTAACATGGGCAACACGACGAGTACACTGAATATTCAAATACCATAAAAAGTGTATACTAGTATTCTTATAAAAATATAAGCGTATATGGGTTAGTTACATGTTTGCCATTGGTTTGTAATGTAAATTTAAACGAAAAAAAAAAATGAGAAAAACATACCAATGAAGAAATCTAAAAGTCAATCTGAAAGAAAAACCGACAAATCCCTGGCAAAAAAAGGTACACAAAACATTACGTAGAAAACGAAAAGATTAAGCAATGTATGTTAGTCTAAAATGAATCATACTCTGCACATTATATTTTTATTCTATTTTATAAATGTTTTAGGTGGTACAGCGGATATCACGTTACACCAACAACAACATGATGAAACACTAGAAGAAGTTGTTCCGCCTAGTGGTGGTCCTTGGGGAGGGACCTCGGTAGATAACGCCTATATAGAATTTTTAAAGGAGGTTTTTGGCGCGGAAGTTGTTGAAGGGTTGAGAAAAGAAGATTTAGAAGACTATTTTCATCTGTTGCATGAATTTGAAATAAAAAAGCGATCAATAACAACAAAATCAGCAACAAACATTGTTATAACAATGCCTGTTGGCTTAATGGATCTTGTTAAAAAACACAAAGGGAACATGAATAATCAAATCAAAAGGACAAAATATAAAGACACGGTCTCGGTTGAAGGACAAAAAATACACATTAAACCCAACACTTTCAGAAACCTCTTCAAAGAGACAATAGATGAGTTATTAAATCATCTCCACGAACTCTTTGCAGATCCGCTCCTATCAAATCTAAAAAATGTTGTTATGGTCGGTGGTTTTTCAGAATGCGAACTGGTGCAGATGGCTGTTAGAAATAAGTTTGGAGAAAATAGAAAAATTATAATTCCAGATGAATCAGGACTTGCCGTTTTAAAAGGAGCCGTCTTATTTGGTCGACAGAAAAAGAAAATAACTAAAAGAATTTTGAAGAAAACTTATGGGATTCAAAGCTGGCCTGAATGGGATCCAGATATTCATCCGGAAACAAAGAAGATCCGAATGGGCGGAACCGATCGGTGTAAAGATGTTTTCTTCAAATTTGCATCTATTCGCGATAAAGTTGAAGAAGGCCACACCTCCTCACAGATATTCCAAGCATTAAATCCGAATGAGAAGACTCTCGAATGTGCGATCTACACTTCGACTGATCCGAATCCAAGATACGTTACCGATCCGACATGTCAACGTCTTGGTAATTTAATCGTAGATTTGCCAAAGCTCAAAGAAGGCGAAACTTTGGAAATTGAAGAAACACTTGTTTTCGGTGGTACTGAATTATTATTCAGGGCTAAAAATTTAAAAACCGGTCGAGTGTTCGAGACACAACTAGACTTTTAATGGCATATTCATTTGTACTAATGTTAACATACGAAGTGATATATGATTGAATTTTTTTCTGCTTGAAATTTTTATAAATACTTTATCGTAGTGGTTTTTCGTTTGTATTTATTTGTATCATTTGTCCGATTTGCAGTTTGTATCATAATAAGCAAAAACAAGAATTTGTCCATAGTACACGGATGCCCCATCCGCACTATCATTTTCTATGTTCAGTGGAAATTAAAAAGATCATATCATAGGGAACATGTCTACTAAGTTTCAAGTTGATTGGACTTCAACTTCATCAAAAACTACCTCGACCAAAAACTTTAACCTGAAAACTTTAACCTGAAGCGGGACAGACGGACGGACAAACGAACGGACGGACGAACGAACGCACAAACCAGAAAACACAATGCCCATAAAAATGGGGCATAATTTCCTGCTTTTACATATTTGATCTTCAAATATTTAGAGAACATGGTTTCGAGCATGAACAGACGAAATATTTTAGTTTAATTAATGCAGGGGACGGGGTGGGGGAGGTTTAATAAAACAAAAGTCGAAGAAAGACTGACAACACTACTGTCAAGAGAGAAAGACCAAAACATACATAAAGCAGAAAACTAAAGATTGAGCAACCTGCACTACAAAAAACGGGAAGAACTACAGATACTCCGAAAGCAAATCAGTTCCTGTTTTGATTGAGACACGTATCGTGTCACTGATATTCTAAAATTGATAGGTTATTGTCAGTTATATAAGTCTTGAAAGTTCGTATATATAACTAGCAGAAAAATGATAAAACGGGAAGTTCATGTAGGTCTCATTGAAATATACCACACTGTCAGATAATTCGAATAATTCAGCGTCATCTATAGCTATCAACGATCATTTCTCCTAATCTAAATAGAGTGATTGTAGTGCGCGGAAAATGGCGACTGGATTATTCGGGTTAACTTACAGTATAAGAAATAGGAAAACAAGATATTTGGTATGCATTGTGAGATGATGGCGGTGATGATTAACTGATGTTTAAACTCAACTCAAGCGGCAAAGTTGAAGCATGATCAGCACGAGAAGATATTGATGTTATATGAAAATAAACACTGTTTTGAACTAGACCGAAACACCGAGCTGTATTTAAAAAAAAATGAAAGACATATTCGGTCTCGGACTTTCTTTAGTTTAATTGCACTGTGCGTATTGCTGAGTGTGTGTGTTTTAATTAAATTCTACATTGACCAGATGTTTATGGGGATGGTTGAGATCTCACAAAATATGTTTAACACCGCCGTATTTTTGAGCCTATCATTAGTCAGCAGCCTCTGACCTTTGTTAGTCACTAAGTGGTGAAGTTAAAATCATCCATTCGTTAAATTTGACGGACGTTATCACGAGTTGGTTGACCGTTATGGGATATCCGTTTCACAGATGATAGCAGATAAGCTCCTAATGTCGTTATTACAATCCCGTCCCCTTTTCACCAATGTGATCTAGTTAGACTTATTACCGGGTTTGTCACTAACTTGAGCAACATGACGAGTACGCTGAATACTAGTATACAAATACCATAAAAAGTGTATACTAGTATTCTTATACAAGATAATCGTATATGGATTAGTTGCACTGCTCGCCGTTTGTTTGCAATATGAAATTAAAGGAAAAAAAGTCAGGAGCCTCTGGAATTTTTTTCTCGTATAGGCATTAGTTCATTTTTATGTTTCGGACTTAGAGTGACGTCCAATTTCACTAAACTAGTATATAGTTTTGTTAAGTGGCAAGCTGAAGTCCGCCTCCAAGTGCGCGATATTGAAGACCCATTGGTGGCCTTTGGGCTTTTTTCTGCTCTTTGGTCACGTTGTTGTCACTTTGGCACATTCCCCATTTCCATTCTCCATGTTATTGTTCACAAATTAAAAGTCTGTATTAAGACATTTCACTCTTCAAGGACAAATACTTCTGACTTTGAGCTGAACAACCTTTGCTCTTACACAATAAAAGCCACAACATACTTAGAATTTGGATTGAACTGGCCCTGGTTCGAACCCACGACCTCCTGCACTTGAGGCGATCACGCTAACACGAGACCATGAGACAACAACCAGCTACACAACATATTGAGGTAACAGCGAACCAGTTTCAGTACAAACACAAGTCATGATTGTACTCTAGAAAAAAAATGGACGTGTACACATAAGAGAAAACGGATTATGCTGGGCTTAGCCATGCAATGTTTATAATTTTGATTAATTTCAAAACAATGTAAAACTTAAAATAAAAATACAGCTGTGCAGACAAAATGAATTGTTTCTATAGATTCCTCTTAACCTTTGACATATTTTTCTACAATTGTTGCAGGATTATTTATCATCAAAAACCATTAACATTATTTTAACTGTGTAATTTACTGATTTTTGTGTCAACATAATTATGTATCAGTACATTAATGTATGTGCAAAATTAGTACCATTATGAGATCTCAATTATATTATGAATATTCAGAGAGAATTCAATCAATAGACAGTCTAACTTTAATTTTCTACAAGAGAAGTCATGAAGCATATTATAACAAATACTTTTGAGTTTTGGATAATTATATAAGTACATGTATCACAAAAATAATTAAGATAGTATTTCCGAACAAAAAGTAACGTAAGTTTTTCTATTTCTACATTCGATTAGCGCATGCATATATTGCTAATAGTTGTTTTAGATTCTTTTAATGAGTTTGAGCTTTTGATTTAGTCATTTTATTATGGATTTTCTGTTTTGGATTTTGCTCGGAGTTCGTTATTTTACTTTTTACAAAGAGTGACAACATGAAAAATACCATTAGAAGAGCTGGAAGTGTTTACACGTGTTACACGTGTAAAAAGTGTCCGTTTGGTTTTGCTTAATTTTTCAGGGTGGTATTTTGTATGCGTTGTTGTGCGTTTCTAAATTAATGCTTACACTTCTGGTAGAAGTCATGTGTAAACATTTTTTGTTAGGAGTACTTTTGTTGAAACATGTGGTGCTGTGACTTATCAAAGTTATTATTATCGCTCGAAGTTTTATTCATTACCCCGCTCAAAACTTCATTAACTGTACAACTTAAGTTTAGAAACCCTGATTCAAACCAATACACACTTACATCTATATCATTTTGAATATTGAACGTCACAGACTTTTTAAACAAGTTCGCATTGGAAAACATGAGAAAAAGAAAAATATCCTTTAATGTTTAATTACAAACACGTGTTGCAGGATCTTAATATAGACGACTTCAAGTCTAAATCTCCTGATTGAACTTGTGCTAGTTCCATATTCATATATATTTCGGCTGGATACGTTATTACAGGTGACCTCAACTTTGTTAATAACACTTCCCTGCGAAATATGTTATATGAAATATCTTGAGCCTAAATCCATCAATTGGAAACACAACTTCAAAATACTGATCGATTCATTCGAGGATTATGCCAAGCAATGTGTTAAACGCAAAAAAGAAGACGTAGATACATTTCCGAATGGATTTAGGCTGTGAGGTCGTTGATACAATGTAAGAATTGAACAAAGTAAACGGGTCTATACCTATATGTTGCAAAAATGAACAAGGTATTGACAATTCACTTGAAAACTCAACATATTCCCTACAACAGAACTGGATCTTCCATCACTGTATTGGATACGTTAACTACTTAAGTGACCTTACAATAACAGTTTATTGCTTGGTCTCCTATATGCTCCAAGAAACCTCTTTCTAAATTAATAACATCATTTTTATGAGCAATCAAAGCCGGGCTTCAAATTTATCTAATGGTGGCGTGAATCAGATGTGGATACTAAAAAATTCCAAAGATCTTTAAACTAAGTATATACAATCTAAGACACTTTCATCTTGCAATAGTATTAAAGCATTTGATTTAAAGACAAATTGAAAGAATTAGTATTGCTTTGTTTCATAAAATGGCCAGCTAAGATACAAGTATCTTGTCATAGGGAGATACACATTCTACTTTGTAAAAAATAACTCTGACTCTAACAAAAAGTTCTGTACAACTTGAAATTATCAAAATGTTTGATTTCTTGATTGACAACATATGTGTTATGTTTGGAGGACGTGTTTTTCAACGAATAATCGTCATTCCTATGGGAAATAACTAGGCTCCTCTTCTTGTCAACCTCTTCCTTTATTCTTATGAGGCTGACGTCATACAAAATTGTCTTTGGAAGAAGGAAAAGTAGTTGGCAGTATCCTTTACTTTCCGCTATATGGATGATTTTCTGTCACTAAATAAGTTGATGACTATGTTGAACGCATCTATCCAATCGAACTAAAAGTTATAGGATACAACAGATACATTAAAGTCTGCATCTAATTTTGCCTTACATCTAGACATCTGTCGTAAAAAATGATAAGCCAGTTTTTTTTTTTTCAATTGGCAGAAATGAAACAACCACTATTCCCCAATATGCGATATCTTCGTTAAACTTGCTCATTGTTATTCTGCGGTTTTCATGTTGTAATGGACTTTTATATTATTTATTATGCATTTTGATGTACCGAGTGTTCGTCCGTTTGTTTGTACGGTATTTCTTTCACGTAGTGTTGTCATTTTAGCGATATTTTTTTAACATTGCCGTATAAGCGGCTGGTTTGGCTAGCCATAAAACCACATTCAAACCTCCGTTTTTCTTAACACGGCCAGTACCAAGTCAGGAATATGGCAGTTGTTATCAAATTGTCCAAGTATGTTGGCGTTTGTTTTGGTTGCACTTCAGTGTTTCTGTTGTTCTGTTGTTTTTTTATAAACCGGATTTGTTTTCTCTTAATCGATTGATGATTTTCGAACAACAATATACTACTGTTATCTTTATTCATTGTTTTCTATTATCATGATTATAGTGTGAATGTAGGTTAGTCATAGGCAATCAGATCCCATCTACATATTCTAGATAGTTTTATTTGATTTATAAATGAAATTCAAGCATTTTTACTTATACTACCAAATAAATATAGCAACGTTAAGAAGCCTTTAATAGATATAGGAAGATGTGGTATGAGTGCCAATGAGACAACTCTCCATCCAAGTTACAATTTATAAAAATAAACCATTATAGGTCAA